GTACACTAGCACATGTAGATATGTGTGTGCATGCTTGTGGAGGCCAGAGGTTGGTGTCAGGTGTCTTCCTCTATTGTTCTCCACCTTATTGTGTGTGTGTGTGTGTGTGTGTGTGTGTGTGTGTACACATGGTCGTGTGTGTGGAGTGCACATGTGTGTGCACCTGTTCACCTTATTTTTCTGAGATCAGGTCTCTCACTGAACCTGGAGCTCACTGACTCAGTTAGACTGGCCAGCCAGTGAGCCCCAGGAGCCTCATTCTACCTCCTAAGCATTGGGTTCGTAGGCACCTGTTACCATACCCAGCTTTTTACATGGGTACTAGGAATCCACACTCAGCTCCTCATGCCTGGGGAACAGGCACTTTGCTGACAGCCATCTCCCCAGCTCACCAGAGTGACTTTGGATGAATGACAAAAAAAATCATTTGAGAAAACTCACCATTCCATCATCATCATGAAAATGACAGCGTTTTATGAAGTGACAGGTATGTTGCATGTAAATTCAGGGGATGCTAACAGGAAAATACTGTGGCCAGCACAGTCCCACTGTGACTGGAAGGATATCCACTTCCATCATGCTAACCCTTTCCTGCAAAGCCTGACCCAAATACAAACATGAAATCAGGGGTCATGCTAGTGAGGCTCATGTTCAGGTCATATAGCTTTGGCTTAAGTCTTGTCCACCCAGCTGTGTTGGGCATAGAAGGCCAGGTCTTGCAGCAGAGACCAGGCTTTCTGCTTCAGTTCCTGCCTCGATTCCTGCCTGGCTTCCCTGGATGATGGATTGTAGCCTGAAATTGAAATAAACCCTTTCCTCCCTGAGTTGCTTTTGGTCATGTTGTTTATCACAGCAACAGAAAGCTAACTAGAACAGGCTATCTGTGATCTTTTGTGTTTCCATGTATATTTTAGGATTGTTCTTTTCAGTTCTGTGAAGAATGTAATGGGAATTTTGATGGCGGTTGCATCGAATTTATAGATTGCTTTTGGTAATATAGGCATTTTTTATAATGTTAATTCTGTCGATCCAGGAGCATGGACAGTCTTTCCATTGCCTGGTGTCTTCTTCAATTACTTTTTTCAGTGACTTAAAGTAGTCATTGTTGGGGCCTTTCGCTTCCTGACTACTATGTTTAATGTTC